GCCACTGTCCTGGAAAATATGAAATATTATATCTCCCAACCTGTTAACTGTATGATAAGCGGAGTTCTTGTTCTCTGGAAATCTAAGAATGAGTCCTAGGAACAATGGACGTTAAAAGTAGGAAGATATTTATTGATAAGAAAGCTCCTTAGGGGCAGGAAGGGTCCCAAGTGGGTAGCCAAAGACCCCACTTTACAGAGAAGTTTTATAGGGTGGGTGAAACCCATGTGGGTACAACGTGGGCCTCAGCCATGAACATCCAATGAGGTTACAAGTATAGTCACCTAGGTAATGGTGGTCCAATTGGGAAGCAAGTCAGGTAGCAAGTGTACAAGGATTTTCAGTAAGGGTGGGGGTCAGGGATATTTCCTAGAGAGGCTGGGTTAAGACCTTGACCCCCCACCCAAGTGATGGATACCTATTTAGAATATCAGTCACTGCTGTTTATCCGCAGGGAAAGCACAAGGGTGTGTAGTTTCTCTCCTTTTACAATTTGGGCCTACAGTGAATGTGCCTTGGGCCGCAATTGTCCTTTGTGCAGAAGGGCCAGCCCTGTATAACAGGCTGTAATAATTATAATTGACTTAGCTGTCTACAATACCAAGAGCCCCCAATAACCTTCAAGCAAATCCCTTTGGCTTAGGTTGGTCTGTCCCTTTCTGTGTGTACAGCCAGAAGTCTCATTGATGTGGTGCTGTGGTTTGTTTCACCTTTGTCCTGGCCTTCTCGAGGACTTAGCCCTATCTGACTGCCTATAATAGTTCTACATAGCTCATCTATCTATAATACCACTGCCTGCCTCACAAGCACAAGTTCCTGAGTTTGATCCGTGGTACCAAAAAAAAAGAGGCAAGGGAAGATAGAGCAAGGTAAGCTATTAAAGGGCAAAGGGAATAAAGTAAGAGGGTGAGGGTTTAATACAGGAGAAAATAGGAATGAGGGAGAACAGAATATGGTGCATTAAAAACATGAGAAGAAGAATTTAAAAAGTGAGAGAAACAAGAAATAAGATAATAGTATTGCTATGGAAGCTTGAGTTGAAGAAACTAAATAGGGAGATGAGAAGAGGGAGAGAACATAGACTCCAACTAAATCAAAGCAAATATGAAAAAAGAACCCAAACACAAAATATGCAATGGGAATTTAGTTCAAATACTACAGCAAGAGCATATGCATGTGATTCACACATGACCACTTTGTGCTGATTGTGGCGTGATTACGTGCCCCCACACCAGTATCATTTCTGCTGTTTTCCACTTGGCCTCAGGACTTCATTCTGTCAGCTTGCAGGCAGAGCCTGATGCTGTCTCTGTTCCTGGATGGGGATCTGCCTCCTCTCTGGGGATGATGGTGGAATTGGTGGCAGGTTTGCTAGCAAGCAAGGGACAGTGTAGGCATGGGCACACTTGAGCTATGCAGTATCCTTGGAGATTTTCAGATGAGCTCACATAGCTGTGGAGTCTGCAGAGTATCAGCTAATTGCTTTCAGGAAGGAGTGCAGATTCCCTGGTGCCTGAGTGCATGCACGCCTGTGGGATTCTGTAGTCCCTATTTGTGCCATTTATCCTCTTCTGCCTACGGTGTGTGTGGGGTTCCCTTGCCTGTGGTAAGTGCTGATGGGGTCTACAGGAGATGGCGGTGGCTGGCTTGGGAGTTGGCAATTCTTTCACAGGTGGAAATCTGCAATCCTTTTTGCCCTTTATTCTCTTTCTGTCTAAGGTGGGGGTGTGGGGTTCCTTTGCCCTGGGTGAGAACTGTTGAAGGTCTTGCCAAGGTACAGTGTTCTCTGGTGTTTGAATTATTGCTGCTGTGGTGAAGGGTCTGGTGCATAGTCAGAGCAAGAAATTCCGTTTCTGTAGAGCTCCTGGCTCCTCCCCACCCACTAGCTATTTCAAGTGCTCTCTTTGGGGCTGCTCTGGAATTGAAACTGAAGTTTTGACCTGCCCTAGGAGCAGTTTTTTTTTGTTTTTTTGCGGTACTGGGGATCGAACTCAGGACCTTGTGCTTGGGAGGCAGGCGGCGGCGCCACTGATCTAAATCCCCGGCCCACCTAGGAGCAGCTTTGAAAAAAAATCTTAATTTGCGCCAAAGTAATTCTGTTTAAGGAATACCTGGGATTGTTTTTCCCCTGGCTGCTTTTGGTGGACTTAAAAAATCACTATGGTTTCACTTCTAGAAAAGAAATACAGTATGTTTTTAAAAAATATGAATTTAACCTGGTTACAAAAAGACTGCTGTAAATTAAGCATCTCAGCATTCTTTTTTTGTTTTTTCTTTTTTTTAAGTACTGGGGGTCGAACTCAGGACCTTGGGATTGTGAGGTAGGTGTGGTGCCGCTGAGCTAAATCCCTGGCCCTCAGCATTCTTTTTTTGATACAAGCACTAAAGATCATATTTTTATTTGGTAGAGAAACAATGAGGGAAATGTCCTACTCTTTTGTTTCAAGGCAGGTTGGGGTGAGTGCTGACAAAAGGAGGGGCATTTCATCTTGATGTGGACACACTTCTGATCTCTGCTTTTCTCCTGCTCTTTATTATCTGCCACCGTTCCTATCTTGGCTGCCTTCTCTGTTCACTTACTTTAAGTATGGGAAGCACAGGTGTTATTTGTTTTGTTTTGGTATGGGGATTGAACTCGGGACCTTGGGCTTTTGAGGCAGGTGGAAGAACCACTGAGCTAAATCCCCAGCCTGGGAAGCAGTTTTTTGAAGGTATGCATAGTTGTTCCAAGCCTTGTGAGTGGAAGACAGATGCAAAGTCAAGGGTTTACTGCCAAGAAGTATGACTCTTTAGAGAAGAGCCTAACTAAAGGAATCCTTTAAAGAAAGGAACAGATTCCTGGGGTTCTGTCTAGATATCCTTCAAGATTCTGTGGTTGAGGTGGTGATGGAGGTTGCTGGTTGGGCCGGGGATTTAGCTCAGTGGTTTTGCCGCCTGCTCTGCAGGCGCAAGGACCCGAGTTTGATCCCTGGTACCAAAAAAAAAAAAAAGAGGTTACTGGTTGAGCACTTCCCTGGACTGTATGAGGCCCTAGGTTTGACTGTCAGCATTGTAAAACAAATGGAGGAAGAGGAGGGGTGGGGAGGAGGAGGAAACAAGAGAAACAAAAACCATGAGTATGTGCTTAACCTCTTCTCTGTGCTTGATATATGTTTTCCCCCATCTTCTCCAGCATCATCTGTTAGCTTTCTGCTGCTGACTACTAACATGCTATACCTCCTGAGTTTTCACATGCATAGCCCAGTTCTCTAATGGCTTCCCCTATTGATGATGCTAAATTACCTCCACACATCTCATCATTGCCACTTCCTGACTTGCTCACTCACCAGTTTATTCTTTTACCAGTACTGACCCACCAAGGTTACCATAGTTCATGTTTTTTTGTTTTTTTTTAATCATCACCCATGAAGGCTAAACATCTGAATCATTAGTTATCAAGTAGTTTTCCATACTCTTACCAAATTCTTTCCCATTTTTTTCAGTTTCTAGAAACAGCCTTGATTTATTGTGTGCCAGGTCCAGGGTTAGGCTTTCTATATCCATTGTCACCATTATGTGAAGTAGGTTACATTATTTCCTTTTCATATCACATTTATGGGTTAGGCCCAGACAGTTTAATTGATGTGCTATCCAAATACAAGGAAATATTGGATCAGGGATTGGAGGCTAAATGACTTTCAAAATCATTCTCTTTCTCTTAAGCCTACTTTCACCTGGCAGGTAGAGAGGGTCCTTCCCTGTTTCATCCCCAGCTGCTCATTTTTCACTTTATTTTTTTAAGGATATGTTATGCTAACCATATGGAAACATTTCTGGTCCTGTGAACTAGTCATGCTATTTTATGGCTCTAAGCCTTTGCCCTCACTTGGTTCCTCCAGTTTAACTTTCTCCACCCCTGTCTGACTGACAAACTCCTTTTCAAGTATCTTTTAAGAGAGCATTGTTATGTGGCCTCCTTCACTACCACCACCACCATCTCCAGGGAACACATGTTGTTGGGTTAAAATGGTTATTTTTCTATTCCTGAGTAGGATATAATCTTTTTTGAGGGCAGACATTAATCTTTTCAGTTTTGTTAGTCTTAAAGATATCCTGTCTTTATGATAAGATGCATATCATAATTTATACCCATTCTGAAGGAAACTATAACTGTGGAGTTAGTCTTATAAAATTGGTTGTATTTAACTTATTTGTGCATGTATATAGGGTCAACATTTGTTGAAGGCTTACTTAATTAGGCACTGTGGCAGGTGGTTGAGATAGAAGGAGAAGAGCAGAATGATTTGAACAAAGGCAGCATTTTTCTGAAGGTAGAGTCAGGAAGGAAATAGACCAGTGAGTTGGGATCATGAAAAGTTATAATAACAGCATCTGACTCTCAGGGAAAGGTTTTGGTGCTGGTCTAGCAGAGTGCTTGCCACTTGGTAGGAAGTCAGTTAATATCTATTTAATTAAATGAAGGAACAATTTACTGGATATTGAAGTAATAAAAAGTTGAGCTGGGGATATAGCTCATTGGTGCCGTGCCTGCCTGCAAGTGCAAGGTCCTGAGTTTGATTCTGATACTGGAAAAAAAAGAAATAATAAAAAGTATAAATTTAGATGTTAGGATGTAATGCTTTTTCTTTTATACTGACATAGTCTTGTAACCTTTGAGATAAAATTCAAAAAACCAAACTATTTCATGTTAATCTGAAGAAATTCTTTCTTTGAGCAGGCGTGTTTAATCAATATGAAAATAGATGGCCAGTATATGTTAGAGTAGTTCTGTGATAAATTCTTCCCGTTGTAACTTTTAAAAACTTACTAAAAATCCCCTAGTATTGTACTTTCTTTTGTGTTAGTGAAATATCCCTCAAAATGGAATCCTTAAGATAGTTAATGAAATGTTTGTGAAGAGTGCTTTTCCTTCTTTATATGTTCATTTTATTGTATTATCATCTCCTTTTAATGTAACTTGCCCTTACCCCTTATCCTCCACACCTCTTTTGTTTTTGCAGTATCTCTTGCTCCTCCTCCTCCTTCCATCCTACAGGTAACTCCTCAGTTACCTTTAATGGGATTTGTGGCCAGAGTCCAAGAAAATAGTAAGTTTATGTCTTCTTTATGCTGTAGATCAGATTATAGGCATAAAATGTCATTGATACATGATTGACTGAATAGTCATTCATTTGCTGATATTTCAGATATTTGAATATTATGAGTAAGTCACTGTGTGAATGACTAATGAGGATGATAAAATAAGTTGAAATTCTCTACTTTCAGATAGCTTTAAATGTATTAGTAGCTGGGGTTGTAGCTCAGTAGCGGAGCAGATGAGTAGGATGCATGAGTCCCTGGGTTTGAGTCCCAGCACTAAAAACAAACAAAAAAACAACGAAAAGAGGGAAAGCCTGGTTGTAAATATGCGTAAATATAAATGCATATGTAAGAGAATAAAAATCATGTCTGAGGAGATCACTGTAATTACCAGGCAGCTCTTCTTTACCTCTGGGCTGCCTGAACTCCCACTGGTCCAGTTTCCTGTCACTGTCCTATCATGGGCGTAGTGTAGGTGCCTGACAGTCTCCCTCCAGTCCTATGATTCCATCCATAAAATAGATGTGCTGTGGTAGAGCGCAGAGTTCCAGCCTGCCAGTTTGTCTCCCAGCGGGCCTTGCAAATTGGCAGTGAATTTGTCTGGGTTTCTAGTCTGGTGTTGAACCACATGGAATCAGATAACTGATTTTCTTGGCACACTAAGTCTTCTAGAGAAGCTCGGGAGACATATCTACAGATCAGGAGTGCTGTATTAATGTGCAGTGAGGAATTGTGGTCACAGATGCAAGAGAACATAGTTTGTGTGCTGGGTGAATTCTCTTCTTGGAACCAGTCTGCTTGAGGGGCCACATCACAGTCGTCGGGGTGCACAATGGGTGTGGAATCTGAACAAGGAGGTTACAGTTGACCCTTGAACAACATAGGTGTGAACTGCTCAGGTCTACAGTTTTTACCAATTGACAGTTTACCCCAAACGTCACTGGAGCAGCACGTTTATTCATGTACTGCCCCAAGCATTGGTTGGGCAGGTGTCATTTCAGCCAGTCGATTCTTGTTTTGAATAAGTTTGATAAAATTTTCATTTAATATTTCCTGTTACATTATAAAAATAAATGAAAAAAGATGCAATTTTTGGTCATCCTGTATTTAAATAATTGCATTGGTAAGTGATTAAAAAAACTCATAGACAGAGTAGCCCAGAAATATTTTTTTAAAATTTAAGACATTGGGCCAGGGATTTAGCTCAGTGGTGCCGCTGCCTGCCTCGCAAGTGCAAGGTCCCGAGTTCGATCCCTGGTACCAAAAAAAAATTTTAGTTATACCATGAATATATAAAATACACGTAGGTAGGGCCAGGGATTTCGCTCAGTGGTTCTGGCACCTGCTTCGCAAGAGCAAGGTCCTGAGTTCGATCTCCAGTACCCCCCCCCAAAAAAAAACATGTAGGTAATAGTCTTTTTTCTCATGTTATTATAAAAAATAAACAAACCTATTACAGAAAGTTAAAATTTATCAAAACTTTGGCATTAGAACACTCACAGACCACACATAAAACCATGTGCAGTTGAAAGAAATATAAACAAGCATAACGATGCACACCAAATCCTGACTGTATAACATTAACTCTGGTAATACTGCATTACCTGTAAGAGTTTCATAATTGCCTCCTGTTGCTACTGTGAGCTCAAGTGTTTTGAAGTGTCTGCTTAATACCTCATGTTGGACTAATCATCTTTGTGCAAACACTGCAGCTCTCCAGTTAATTATATATTACAGTAAAATGTGATCTTTCACTGTTCTCAAGTATTTTTCACTGTGTATAATTTATAGACTGAGTTGTAATAAAAATATGGTGAATATATGAAAAATTCTTAAATTTATTACAGTAAAAGACAGTGCCATTACCCTCAGAATACTCCCCCTCACCTTGGACACACTTATCCCACTGTTCTTGCTTCTTTCTGAAGCAGTTCTGGAAGTTCTTTTTCATGAGTGTATTTACTGTTATAGCTGCCTCAACGTCCTGAATTGATTCAGAATGTTTACCCTGTTGACTTTGGGTAAGAACCACAAGTCTTATTGCCAGAGCCGGTGAAGGAGGTGGATAAGGATACACCATAATGTTTTTACAAGCTGCCTTTTCATGGGGTGGCACTTGGCAGCAGCATTCACTGTATTTTTGATTATACATTTTTAAAGACACAAAAGAGGACTTTCAGAACTGCTTCAGAAAATGGCAAGAATGATGAAATGTGTTCTAAGTGAGGAGAGTATTTTGAGAGGAATTAGTGGCAGTGTGTATTTTATTCTCATAAACTTAAAATTTAAACATTCATATATTTTGATCATACCACATACACAGAATATATAAAGACTGTTATTGGTTAGGCTTCCTGTCAATAATGGGCTATTTATAGTAGTTAAATTTTGGGGGAGACAGAAGTTATATGCAGAATTATGATTGCTATGAGGCCGGGTTAAGGGTCAGCTATACCTTAATTTCAGATTTAATATCATCAGGCTAAAGTAGCCTAACATATGGATCTCATAACAAGGAAGGTAGCACTGCTGGGATAGAAATATTTGCAGTATGTTTTTTGGGATTCTTTGGAGTAGGCATTGCCAGTAGTAGAACCTGAACTCTGACAGCAGAGACTTTGCCATTTTGTTTGTTGGCCCTTTCTCCATCACCTAGGAAAGTGTGTGATAGGTAGCAGGTGCTTTTGGTGCCCGCCGCCCTGCCCCCCTTTTTAAAAGAAAGATGTGTTTGTATTTTCACTGGTTAAAATCCAGTCTTACTGCCCCGAGAGCTCAGTGTTTCTTGCAGGTGCCTTTGCATTTCTTTGCCGATTTCTGAAAACAGTTTGTTTTACTCACTATTGTTCACTGGGATGTACCCGACGAATCCTTGTAATATTTGTCATGCTGTCTGTTCTTAAAATGCTTTAAGAGCTGCTTTCATAAATAATCAGTAGGTTTCATTTGTTTAAATTATGCTATTGGAGCCCACTTTCCTTTGGCTTGTGTGTGGCCCACATGGGCTCAGGGATAAAATGCTGTGTCGGTGAGGTCCAGCCAGCCCTGCACAGCCTTGGTGTGACTCTGCTAGGCTTATGTGCTTAAGTGTGGCACAGAGTGTAACTGGTCCTGCTCTTTTAAAAAAATTTGTTCTGTATCTAAACAGTAGACCAAGTAGAAAAAGGTTTAATCAGAGTACCAAAATGGAACACTTTGCAATGTTGGTTGCATTTTATATACCCATATAAGATGAAAAGTTGAAATGTCATTATAACAAAGAGAAAGTTTTTCTCATCACAAGTCCAGTTTAATCACATCAATTAATGAAGATAGTCACCTGAATGATACTTTTCACTTTTTTACAATCATGATGGGCCTGCATGTTGGAGAATGCCATCATTCAGTTGCTCCTGCATGTTCTGTGAGTTGATGTCACTCATCCTGAACACAGAACTTATGAGCAGCTTCTGGAGTAAACTAAACCATCAGTTAGACAAAAATGTTTATGTAGAAAGTAAAAGGTGATTTTCTTTGCAAAAATCTGAACTTAATGTTAAATAGGATTATGAAGCAAGATGTCATTTAGATTTCACCAGTCATTAGTGAAGGTTACAGTTTGTGGGAACATCAGAATGTTTCATAAACAGTCCCAAATATTACTGAAGTACATGGTTACTAGTTCAAGACTTAGAAGTGTCCTAAGTATATTTTTGAAAAGTCAGTTCTTAATTCAGTCACCGATCACAATTGATTATCATTTGAGAACCTTCCCCCGTCATACATCCCAGTAAGTTCATCTAACAGTGAGTCACATCCTCAGCCCACAGATCATCTTCTACATCTTTTTCCATAGTCATATACATTTCTCTCATACAAAAAGCAGGAAAACTGCCAGTGTAGTAGCACATACCTGCATTCCCACTACCTGTGAGACTGAGGCCAGAGGAGTGTGAGCTCAAGGCCATTCTGCAGTACATAGTTCAAGGCCAGTCTGGAGTAATAGTGAGACCTGTCAAAACAAAAACAAAAACAAAACCCAAAAGTATAAAACCCATTTTGAGATATACTGTGACTGATTTAACAGACCTAGCAGGATGTATATATTCAAATGTATTTTATCCTCTCAAAACATTCACTTTGGGAAGGTATGTTTCTTTCAGATTATCTTCAAAACTTTTCAGGCATATTATTTTTATTCTTAGTGGAACTAGGGATGGAACCTAGAGCCTTTGCACTGAGCTACATCCCCGGCCCTTTTAAAAATTTTTTATTTTGAGACAATGTCTCACTAAATTGCTATGGGCTTAAATTTGTGATCCTTCTGCTTTAGCCTCCCAGAGTACTGAGATTACAGATGTGTGCCACCTTGCCTGGCTTAGGTATATTATTTTAAAGCTATTCTGTGATACCAGGTATTTACTGTACATTATGTTCAATGTTTTGAAGAAGCATGGATTTGTTTGGGACCAGTTATAGTGTACCATTTTATATTGAGCTAAGAAATTCAGTTATGATCCTCTTTTAAAACTCGTCTCTGCTCCCCTCTCCCAGTTGCTCTTTGGATAGAGTCCAGACTTCTACGAGTCTCTTTTTCCCTACTCTTCTTCATTTCCTCATGCCTTTCTGTTGAACTTTGGACAATTCTTTGAAGGTTTTCTGCTTTCTTACCTTTGTACTTTTTTTTTTTCTTTATATCTGACATGAAATATTCACCCATGACATACTCCCACCTAGCTGTTAACTCTTGCTCATCCTTCAGGTCTCAGGAAGCGTCTCTGATTTGTGTTGCCTGTTCTCATGATCTCCTAAAGCATTGTTACCCTTAATCATACATGAAAGTTTGGTTCTCCATCTCTCCATCACTTTTCCCACTAATGCTTTCTCAGTGCTAAGCATAGTGCCTAGGACAGAAGTCTCAGTTGGTGTTTACTGAGTGAATGACAGTGAAGCATATCCTCAGCATTGGTAGGTTTACCTCCGCCCACAATAGTGTAGCCTTATCTGTATTGTTGGCACATGTTTGCAACCTGTGGCTATCACATTCATCCTGTGATCAGTCACACCACATGTTACATGCCCTTCCCTCTCCCCTTCCTCACTTTCCCCTCTCATCTCTACAATCTGAGCCTGTTTCACACTATGTCTCTCTTATTTTTCTCTTTAACTTACTTATATTTTGGGTTTCTAATGTAAGAGAAACCATGTGGTATTTAGCCTTCATGTGTGGTATATTTACTCAGCATTGTGGTCTCCAAAGTGTAGCTCTAAAGATAACTGGAAAGCCCATTTCTACAAAGAATACAATTAAAAACACCGCCTCCTAAGGTAGATTAAATGAAATAATGAAAAGTGCTAGCTGAGTAATTGGGACATTTTAAGTAAACAAAAAAGGTAGCTTTTGGTAGTCTTATTAAATTGACTCTAAGGCAGTTGCAAGACAAGTAAAAATGATCAGTGATAGCGTCTTCAAGTAATTTTGTAGTATAATTTCTCAAGGTTATTGTTCTGAAGTTTTCTTTGGGTTTTTGTACAGTTATGGTAGTCTTTTCAAATGCAAATAGGATATTTTTTAAAAACTGCATTCATTTGTAATTTTTCATAAAGTTTATATCAAAATCATGTATATAGCCAGTCTGATGGTACAACTACTCGGGAGACTGAGACAGGAGGATTCTAACTACTCAGGAGACTGAGACAGGAGGATTGCAGGTTTGAGGCTAGCCTGGGTAAGTTAGTGAGACTCTGCCTCAGAAAAACAAAAAGGGCTGGGGATATAGCCTGGTGTTTAGGGTGCTTGCCTAACATGCACAAGGACCTGAGTTCAATCCCTGGTACCCCTTTTCCTTAAAATCACATTTGTATATTTTTTATTAAAAAACTATAGGAGGGGGAGGGGGTTTAGCTCAGTGGCCCCACAAGCTCAAGGTCCTGAGTTCGATCCCCGGTAACAAAAACAAAAAGAAAAACAAAACTGTAGGAGGGCAGGATGTAGTAGCATGTGCCAGTAATCCCAACTGTTTGGACACTGAGGCAGGATTGCAAGTTTGAGGCCAGCCTGGGCAACTTAGTGAGGCCCTGCCTCAAAATTTTAAAAAACAAACAAACTGGGGATATAGTCACACATGCTTGCCTGGCAGGTGTGAGGCTGGGTTTAATCCCCAGTGTTGAGTACAGCACCCCTGCCCCCAATACAAATGATAGAACTGAGGGAAGAATACTAAAATAGGACAGAATTGGTATTAATATGGAATCAGCAATCTTTAAATTCTGTTTGATTCAGTTTATCAGCTTAGATAAAAAACAATTGCAGAGAATGTCATGGACTCATTTTGGTAAGAACAGTTCTCTTCATTAAACCTGGGCAGTGATGAAACGCAGGTTGGTTTATTTTATTGTGTTGAGGTTCACTGAAGAGTGTGCCAACCGTTTGGAAAGCTTTGTACTGTCTGAGTTTGGCTGTCATCTTTTAGATGTAGTATGCAAATGCCTGTGCTATGAGAGCAGGTCTTGATAGGAAACACTGTGGATATCTTAAATTACTCTGAGAGTACACTGGACATTTAGCCTGAAGATAATCTAAATCGTAAATTAGTTTGAATTAGTTGAAATTCTATAAACAAAACATCTTTATGGAAGTTACCCAGAATTGTGATTTTTCCTCTCCAGATTGGTAAAATGCTATTTCAAAAAAAGAAAAAAAGTAGCAGATTATTAAGATACGATAATTCTCTGGACTCATTTACATTTATGATAAATGAGATATGCTTGTAAATGTGTGAATTATTGATATTTCTGACAACTACTCCTTGAATGTGGTGTAAAGCCAAACTGTATTATACTGATTTATTTGAAAAGGTTATATGTTAGTATAGAAAGGCTCCAGAGATGGCTGGGGATTTAGCTCAGTGGTTTCTGCCTCAAAAGCACAAGGTCCTGAGTTTGATCCCCAGTACCAAAAAAAAAAAAAAAAGGCTCCAGAGGCCCAATTGATAGTAAGTATTTTGACCTAACTTTATTCAGCACCTGTCAGCCTAACTCAAAGGGGAAGGAGAGAGCCATCCCTGGAAATCTGGAACATGTCAGTGGGAAAATTTTTCTTACTAACTCTTTTTTAAAAGATGATTGTTTTCAAATTTAGGCTTATATTTCATGAATATAGAAATTAAAATAGGAAATGCTGAACTGTGCATAATATGTAGTTTTGTTGTCAGCATTGGTACCTTCTTAGTTTCAGATACACCACCTCCACCACCACCTGTAGAAGAACCGGTCTTTGATGAGTCCCCACCTCCACCCCCTCCTCCAGAGGATTATGAAGAGGAGGAAGCGGCTGTGGTCGAGTACAGTGACCCCTATGCTGAGGAGGACCCGCCCTGGGCACCGAGGTCTTACTTGGAAAAGGGTAAGTTTTAGGAGGCTCTCTGGAGGGATGTGACAATGTCTACTTAGAACTGAAATTGCTGATATTGAAAGAATCTTGTTTATTTTTTACCAATAAGTAAAGTTTTATTTGTATTTCCAGTTCAGTTTTAGTGATTTATTATACAGTATTCATGATTTTGAAAGTCATGCTAGTAAAATTTTGTAAATAGTTTTCAAATTGATGGTTACCTATTGTTCCTATTGAACAGCTGTTCACAGATGGTTTTTATAAGACAAAAATCACAAGAGAGCAGTTTTCTATTTCCTTCAGAATGTATCAGGAAGTGGATTATTTTTCTGAATTGTTACTCCTACTTCCTTGCTTTATATCAGACATTTTAGTGTAAGTGTCTCTGTAGGAAACTTGGAGAATAGGAAACAATAATGGTTTCTCGGTTTGTTTGCATAGTAGTATAGGGCCTCTCTTTCAGTGAAAAGGTTCTGTGGGTACCTTAGCTAACTGTGATGTTAGCTGACCAGTCAGCTCAGGAGAAGAATGCGTGTTATCTGGAAGGAAATTTTCTGGTAAGGAAAGCAAAGCACTAATGCATTGCATCTCAAAACCGGCTGCATATTAACAGTATCTGCAAGCTTTTATTAAGAAATAATGGACTCTACTTTGGGCTAACATAGAGCAACAGTAATGAGCTTTACTCTTTCTTCTAAATACACAAAATAATGCTTTTTAGATACTGACTCTGACCCCAGAGAGAAGGAAATCAAAAACTTCTTATATTGTGTAACTTTTATGAACACTACATGTGGTCAAGAAGGTTAAAAATCATGAACATGAGGGAGATGTCGGATATATAGTTAAAGACAGAGAGAAACTCACACAGAATTTCTGAAGATTAAAAATACACTCTCTGTCAAGGTTAGGTGGCTCATGCCTTTAATTTCAGCACTCTGGGATGCAGAGAGTCACAAGTTCTAACCCAGCCTGGGCAGCCTAGTGATTTAGCAAGTTCTGTCTCAAAAACAAAAAAGGGCTGGGCATATAGCTCAGTCCAAAGACCCTGGGTTTAATCTCTAATACTGCAAAAACAGACAAAAGCATAACAAAACAAAACAATTGCAGTAGATGCTATAGAAGAATGGGTCAGCATCACTAACAGTATGACATTAGAGACTCTCCAAGATGAGGCCCAGGGTGAGATGAAAAACCACCAAATAAAAATGTACTATATTAGCATACAGGACAAGATCAGAGAATTTTAATATATGTAATTGAGTCCCCAGGAGAGGTAAAAGGAAAGAAAAAGATGGAAGCAGTAATGGCAAAACCTATCTCCTCTCTGAATGGCCTCGCTGGGCCCTTTGACTCCAGCATGCTCACGTGGCTGCAACCTAGGTATCACTAAGGATAGGTTTGCCTCAAGGCTCTGCTGGGGTGGGTTCACTTCCTCCCTAAGCTGCTGGCTGGAAGCACCCACTGCCAGGCCTCTGCTGGTGCAGCACGGCAGCCTGCCCATCAGAATGGACATGGGGAGAGCCAGGCAGAGTGCAGGCTGCACATGCGCTTTCCATCTGACTGAACGAATAGTCTGTTGGGTTTTCTGTACTCAGTAGATTTATCCCATACACAAGGGCTAGGGCTTAGGTGAATGCATCACTACGGTGAGGCAGAAATCCTTGGGAGTTATTTTAAAAGTTGTCACAATAAGGGGCTGGGGATTTAGCTCAGTGGTTTCGCCGCCTGCTGCCCAAGCACAAGGACCTGAGTTTGATCCCCAGTACCAAAAAAAAAAAGAGTTGTCACAATAAGAACCATAAACTTATAGTACCAAAACATTCAATGGATAGCAAGTAAAAGAAACAAAATCACACCAAGGCAAATCATAATAATATTATTAAAAACTACTAATAAACAGGAAGTCTTAAAGGTAATCAGAGGAAAAATGATACATATAGAACAAAAATAAGAATGACTACATAGTTCTCATTAAAAATTAAGTCAAGGCTGGGCATGGTGGCACACGCCTGTAATCCCAGCACTTGGGAGATTGAGGCAGGAGGATTACTGCTAGTTCGAGGCCAGCCTGGGCTACATAGTGACTTCAGGTACAGGCTGAACTATAAAGTGAGACCCTGTCTCAAAAAAAATACAAAAAACCCAAACAAGCCAGTGCTGCAGATGTGGCTCCGTGGTAGAGTGTTTGCCTAGCATGTGCCAGGCCTTGGGTTCCATCCCCAGTACTGAAACAACGCCCCCTTCCCCAAGTGTTAGCCAGAGACAGTGAGCACCATTGTTAAAGAAATAAAAGAAAATACCAACCTGAAGTTCTTTACTTAGTAAAAATATTCTTTTAAAAGACCTTTACAGACCAAAAAGGGGGAAGGATTCATAACTATCATAACTATCAGTTATATGCTAAGAAATTTCAAAAGGAGCTTTTCTAGGCAAAAGAAAATACCAGATGAAACCTCAGGTCTGCAGAAAAAGCATAAAATGTGAGTAGCAAATATGTAGGTATAACAGAGACATTTTCCTCATATTTTAATCTTTTTAAAGGTAACTGAAATAATCTGTTATTTAGAGCAAATGTAAAAGTAACTTCACTAGCACAAATAATGAGAAGAGAAATGCAAGTGTATTTAAAGTTCATATACTGGGCTGGGGATTTAGCTCAGTGGTTTCGCCACCTGCTGTGCAAGCGCAAGGACCCGAGTTCGATCCCTGGTACCAAAAATAAATAAATAAATAAAGTTCATATACTATCTGTGAAGTAGTATACTCACTGAAGGTAGAGTGAAGTAAATTAAAGATAAATATAGATAGTAAACCATAGGCTAAGCAGTAAGAACATAGAAGCTAGCTGGTGCAGATTTAGCTGATATACAAGTAGGAGAGTAAAATAAAATGAGAAAAAATACTCAGTTCACAACAGGCAGGAAGAAAAACAAAAGGCAGACAAGTAGAATTTGAAAAGCAAGATGGTAGATTAAAACCCAGTGTAATGCATCAGTAATTGCATTAAATGTTAAATATAAATGTTTAAACAATTAAAGGATTGAGAAATTGGAAAAATTGAGAATTTGATTTTATCCATTGAAGAAATTGGATAAAAGAGACCCAAGTATTTTGTATTATCTGCAGGAAACCCACTTCATATGTAAGGACACTTTGGGTAAAATGAAAAAGAACATTCATCAAAAGAATTCTGGGTTGGCTTAAATCAGACATGACTTAAGCTGCCAGAGTTTAGAGTTCTATAAAGTTATAGTATTTAAAACGTTATGGAGCTGGTGTAAGTAGAAACATAAATCAATGGACTTGAATCCAGAATCCAGAAATAAGTCTGCACATACTGTTTGATAAAGGTGGCAAGGTAACTGGAGGAAAGGGTAGTGTTTTTAGTGCGTGGTAATGGAACAATAGGATATCCACCTGAAAACATAGTCCTCCACCCTTACCTCACTATATACACAAAAATTAACTTGAAATGGATTTTGGACCTGAATGTAAAACCTAAGCTACCAGGTGTGGTAGTGCACACCTGTGATCCCACCACTTTGAGAAACTGAGGCAAGAGGATCTCCAGTTGAGCTGAGCCCGGACAATTAATTTAGCAGCTTAGGAAGGCCCTGACTTAAATGAAAACTGAAAAAAGGGCTGAGAATGTAGCTCAGTGTGCAGAGGCCTTGGGTTCAATCTCTAGTACCAGAACAGAACAAAACACCTATGCCATGAAACTATGCTAGAGGAAAATGTAGGAGAAAATTGTTGTGATCTTGGGTGCAGAAAAAATGTTGGTGAGCACGTAAGTAATTTGAAGCTTAAAATAAAATATTAGTAAATTGAAACTTTCTTCTTCAAAAGACACTGTTAAAAAACTGTCAAGGCAGGCCATAGAGAAAATTATTTGAAAAATTCCTAAGGAGATAATTTGTAGAAAAAAGAAAAGATTTGAACATAGTTCGCCACACAGGTAAATGAGTGACAAATATGTGGAGGAAAAGGTGCTCAACCTTATTGATCAATGGGGAAATGAAAGATGAGGCTACCTTGAACCATACTAATCCCATTACACAAGCACAGGAGTGATGACAGATAAAACATGGCTGACATGGACTGTTGAAAAAGTGATGAATCTGGAGCTCTTGCATTTGCACATTGCTGGTGACAGTGCAGAATGTTTCAGCTACTTTGGCAAACAGTTGCTTTTTTAAAAAAAAGTTAAAAAGACAGAAGTTAGACATAACCCTACCGTCTCATCTGGCAGTCCTCTCCTGTGTATTTACTTAAGAAAAATACGGTTTCACTGCCTGCTGCACCAAGCGCAAGGACCCGAGTTCGATCCCCGGTACCAAAAAATAAAAAATAAAATGAAGGCGTACATGTACACAAAGACTGGAATACAAATGTGTGTAGCTGCTGTACTCATAATAAGTAAAATCTGTAAAGATCCAAGGTACCTCCCCTGCTGACTGGACATACTAATTCTGGATCATCCATCATTCAACAGACTACTTTTCCACGATAAAAAACACAAATTATTTGTGGGCAACAATATGGATGGATCTTAGAAGTTTTATGGTAATGGAAGAAGGTCAACAGAAAGACTTAGATTCTACCTGATGAACCTGGGAGATCTGTGTTTCCCAGGCACAAGTACTTGTGCATAGGTGTGTAGGAGATTTTGGGTGACAGCCATGTTGTACATGAGGATTGTGGTAACACAGCTTCACCAGTGCTACTTGTCAGTGGTTGTGTTTTATGTTTAAATTACATCATAATAAAGCTGTTTGTAAGGGTAAAATTATTGCAGGTCCTGCGCTAGGATGTGGCCTGGGGATTGATCTGTTTTCCAGACTTCCTAGCGATTTTCGCACTGCTTTATGCAGAGTGATGGCAGTTTGTAGCTCTGAGAAAGCATCTCAGTTATTCATTCTGAGAAAAACACAGTGAGAAAATTTGCTTTTAAAAAACATACTCTTTGGTGGTTATGTAAAAATCTGGAGAGACTGTTAAGAGAAGAA